TTGCCCTCAGATTCACAATGTAAACAGTTTTCCTTTAATACAGTAGTAACACTCTGACGGTGAAACGTTTCGAGTTCATAATGGAACTGGAATTCTTCGTGACTGGACGAGAAGAGCATGATTCTGCTGCCATCTTACGGCTGCAGCGAATATGGCAGTTTTAAGTCGCCTTCCTAACTCATAGAGATGTGAAGGCTTACATTTATATGAAAAATATTAGTATTTCCGTCTGCTTTGTCAGAGTGTTCAGGCTCACTTTGAAAATATATAAACCCTCAAATTAATCATTAGTGAAAGTGCTTAGAAGAAATCCTCGTTACAATATGTCAATACTATTGTATAGAAATGAAGTTAAAATAATCATTACCTCTTCTCTTAGAAGAAAATACAACTTCTTGCATTCCTCTTGGTTAGAAAGTAAATGTGTCAAAGTGATGGGGTGAATAACCAGATGCAGGTTTTAAGTTTTTTTGCATCGTGTGTAGGATGAAAACAGCCTAGTATGATCTGGGTCAGGTGCCATGTTAAGGTGCACTTTCACTGGTGGCCACTAGAGATCCTGGTTGCCTCCACAAAACCACTCTGAGGTTAAAACGTCATCTGACGTTGCACTGTGTTTTGATGGGTTATACTTGTGATTTTACTGCAGCTGTCTTTGTTTTAGTTCCATTTTACAGTATGTAATTGTAGGAGTCAGTGAAAGTCACAGTCCTCAATTTTTTTCAGAAGAAATTGAATTGAGGTTTAATTGTTCTGTCCATTGATGCAGACACATCGGGCAATAACGGTTTTCATGATATAAACCTAGGAGGTCTGCACAAACGACTGCATTCTCATCAGTTCGACATCACAACCAATGTCAGTGCTTCTGCCTGCCATGTTATGACTGGTGCTGTGGCAGTTACTCAGCACAAGCACCCTCACACTTGATGTGGTACAGTCTGAGGTAGTCCCTGAGCTGTGGAGGCAGTGGCAGGTTGTTAATGCCGTGGTAGGTGGTGCTGCTACAAATCACAACCCTGCACAGGTGCTGCAGTGAGAATGGAAAGTTCCTCAGTAGTGGTCGGGAAAGAAGAGGCTCAAAGAAGAGGCAGGTGGCTGGGTCACTGTAGTGTCTCAACAGCCCTGTCACACTGGGATCCTGATACATACAGGGGTCACGGACATCAAAACTGAAATGCTTCCCATTCTGCTCGATGCGTGCATGAAGGGAGCGGCTGTAGCGACGAAAGCTGACTGAAAAAAGGAACTCATCCTGGGCAGAGTCTCGGAGAAGGAATGTCCCTTCAGGTTGACCCTCCAGGAGCTCCTCTGCTTCAAAGC